AGCTGCTGGAAGATTGGAACTCATCAGATCTGTCATCCAAGGAATTGAAGGATTCTGGTTCCAAGCTTTCCCTATTCATAAATCTGTCTTGGATAGGATAACCTCCCTTTGTAGAACTTTCCTTTGGGGGAGCAAGTTCTGTAAGGTTGCTTGGGAGGATATCTGCAAGCCCAAGGATGAAGGGGGGCTTGGTTTGAACAAGCCCTGTATTTGGAATCAGGCACTTTTGAGCAAGAACCTGTGGAATATTGCCTCAAACAAGGAAACTCTGTGGGTGCAATGGGTTCACTCTGTTTACCTTGATGGCAATGACTTTTGGATTTGGAGCCCTGAAAAAAAGGACTCCCATTTCTTCAAAAAACTGATTGAAATCGGGGACATGCTGCTACTCAAGTGTGGGGACAGATGGGAACTTGAAAATCAACTTTGTGATCAGGGTGATATATCAGTTACAAAGGTGTATGACTTACTCAGAACCAGGGCAGTGATGAGACCCTGGATGAAGGCTATTTGGAAACCCTACATCCCACCCAGATACTCCTTCTGTGCTTGGTTGATCTTCCGTAACAGGATTCCTACCAAAACTAACCTTCATTTCATTGCTATGGAGAATAGATTATATGAACTTTGCCACAAGGAGGAGGAAACTGGCTAACACCTTTTTTTCAACTGTGAAACCTCCACACTCATCTGGAATGCTGTTAGATCTTGGCTTGAGATAGCCCCTGCCCTGTCTACCCTGGACAGAGCCCTTACTTGGCTAAGGAGACTGAGGAATAACCATTGCTCTAAGAGGAAGATGACAAGGCTGGCTATTCTCAGCACAGCCTACCACATTTGGAGATTAAGGAATGGTGTGTATTTTGACAACCAGGCCATAAATATTGATGCTATTGTGTGCAAGATCAAGGTGGGGGTCTTTAAAATAATGAACACGTTATATCCCAATGGTGGTTAAGGCCCCCCCCCCCCTTGGATTTCATTGATTGGTCTCCCAGGATGTTGCTTGTGATCTTTGTGCTTACCCTTCCTATCCTTGTTGAGGATTCGTTGGGCGTTTACCCTAGTGGGATGCTGGACAGAGGGCTAACACTGGGGTCCCTTGGGTAACTGGTGTTATCCCTATGCCCAGTTTCTCTGGGGCGGGAAACATTTCAAATGCTAGAAACCCTCTTTGGAGGGTCTCTAACCTTTGTTATGGGTCCTTGGGGGCGATTTGGTGGAAACAAACCAGGCTATGCTATCCCCTTCTGGAATTGTAGAGACTGGCTTGGGTCCAGGGTTTCTCTCTCTCCTGTTTCCCCCCCTCCCCTTCTTTTCTTTCCATCACCTTCCTTCTACTCCCACTTTTCTAGGAGGCAAGTTAAATAATATTTGCCAAATCACTCCTTGGATTTGATACTTGTTAGCTTACCTTGGCTCCTCTTTGGGTGGTTGGGTTCCTGATAGCTTGGGTGCTCTTGGGGTGTGGAAACAAACCATACCCTATCTACCCCTTCTGGATAGGTAGGGAATGGCTTGGATCCAGGGCTGGAGGGTGTTCTCACCCTCTTTTCTTTCTTTTTCCCCCTCTCCCCTTCTTCCTTCTTCTTGCTTCTCCCTCCTTTCTTGGTCTTCCTCCTCTTTTGTCCCTTCTTCTGTTTCTGGAAACACGCTAAGTTTCACTCATCCAAACCCTCTTTGTTTT